AAGTAACTGTGTCAACCTCGTTTGTAGTCCAATAATTATTCCCTGCACACTATGTTTACGGTAATTAATAATCGCATTCTTGACATTTCTTTGATAATTGTTTATTAAAATTTAATACATATTTTTTATGAATTACAAACAAATTACTTGCATTTATGACAATCGGAACCCCTTTTGGAAATTTGAGCTATTCTTTTTTGGTTAGTCAGAGGTTATATTAATAGACATTTTCTTTATAAATTGTGCAAATTTTTCACGAAATTGTTCGTATGTTTTGTAATTATAGTCTTTATAATCGCATAAATGTATTGTTTTATAAGTAATTTAGAATTCATTTAAATAGTAATCAAAAGCATTTGTATCACACAATTTAAGCGATAATTTAATTTCATATATTTTATTATCACTCGATTTACAGATTATACTAAAAGACTTCTTTTGCCATGATAGGAGAGCATATAAACTGTGCATGGTCACACTTTCATTATTAAATAATTGTATCACTGATTTCTGTATTGAATTGATGTTTTTATCGTTGATATATTTGCCACAAAAATACATAAACCCGTCGTTTGTTAGGAAATATGTTTGGTTTTCATTCGAACAAACCGTTTGAATGTTAAACAAATTGTCAATCATTTGTTGTTTGAATACATTATTCGATATATTGTGTCGCAAATGATTGTGATTTCGACCCCAACTAAAGACTCGGCCATCAGTTGTGACGGCAAACGACAAAACGCCATAACAATAAACGCCACGTATTTTATATTCAATCCCTTTGTCTATTAATTGTATTTTCATTGGAGTTATTATTACAGTCGAGTTCTGTTCCCCACAACCCGTCTGTCCAAACTCATTATAACCCCATCCGTAGACAATGTCATCACCGGTGACCACAAGTGAGTGATAAAAACCACAACTAATATCACGGATATTAGGATTATTAGGTAATGAAATGACGACTAGTTTTGGGTAATCATCAGTCGATGATTGGGATAACTGTGCAAAGTTATAACGGCCCCAACCGTGTATACAGTTGTTGTCATTAATTGATAAAACACAAATTAAAATCACAAATAAATTGTCGTATATTTTTATGACATAATTATTGTATAATATGTGGTGTATTGACAGCTCTGTGTCCCAACCCGAGTGATTCATAATAATTAGATCCCATGCCGTAAACCATGCCATCGTTTGTCACAAACAATACATTAACCCTTTTGCTGTCATCGAGAACGTGTAATTGTTTAATACAATTAATGTCTACTTTATTATCGATAGACTTGTATTTGAGATCAATTGCTAGACTATTGCCACCAATCGATGCAGTTTTTATATCATTGTCTTTGTCAATTATTTCTGATATAAGCATTTGATTTAGCTGTACATAATTGGCCGGAAAGAGACCATCTTTGTCGCGACACCTGCCCCACCACCAGCCCTCGTCGATCATCCCTATATCGGTTATCAACTCTTTGGGATCAAAACTAATTTCATCGAAATCCTGCGCTTTGTAGTCAAACAGAGCCGTAGCCGTCAGTTCTGTCGGACAACTGCTATTATTACTCTGAGCCGCAGTTGTCATAATATCCGGTCGTTGTTTCTCTGCGTTGGACTCAGGATTAGCGGCCGCTTTAGTCACTACTTGTTGTCTCTTTTGATCATTCATTACCTTTTGTTGCATCTCTTTCTCGGCGACCGTCGAGGCCTTCATCTCTTGTTTCTCGCGCTCCAGACATCTGTCCCTCTCCTCATCGGCTCTGCGTTTAACAACCATTTCCTCGTTTTGGGCCATACTTTCAAATTTTGCCCTCAATTTACTGGCATTTCCTTTATATACTGTGTGTTTGTCTCCACCGGCGGCCGAACTACTCATCACTCGTGTCGACAATTGATCCGTTCTATCGCTTTCAGTATCACGTGATTTATGACCTAAAGTAACATTAATTGAAACATCGCTTTGGTTTCTCTCTTCCCGTTTGTATCTCTCCTTCGGTGTGTTTCCCTCCTCTCCGACACTCCGTTTCCCTTCCATTCCCTCATTTTGGGGCAAAGTCTCGAACTTCGTGTTGAAAACACTACTTCTTTTATTAACAACCGGTTTGTTCACAACATTAGTCTTTTTGTTGGCATTTAAACAATCACGTGATTTGTCATTTATATTATTATCTGTTGAAATGTCGGTATTATTTATTTTATAATTGAAAAACTTATTATAAAATGTGTTTTCATAAGATTGCAGTGATTTTTGTATTTCTAAGAATTCTTTATCATTTTCTGTAATCATATGTCTATCGACTGACCACTCATTATAGTCGTCGAGTACTCGACCACTGGTCGGCCGATTGTCTGCCATTGATTGAAACATTTGCGCAATTATTGCAAATAATTTATTGAAATTTACTGAAAATACGGCTGATTTGTATTTTTCCATTGGATTTTCACTAATAAAGTAGTTAAAAATATGTTAAAAATTATAATAAAGTGATTGCCATTGACTTACATATTGAATAAATCAAACAAATGAAACGCAATGACTGCCAGACTATAGATGTCTACTTTGATTGTATATCGGGGTTGAAATATTTCGGGTGCCATATATTGTGCGGTTCCGACATTAGAGGTGTGGCTCATGGATGTCATGGAGTGAGTGGTGGCCAATCCTAAGTCACACAACCGTATAAACCGAGTGTTTTTACTATTTTGTGAAATCAAAACATTTGACGGTTTGAGGTCCCGATGGATAACCGGTGGACACGAGTCGTGTAAATACTTTACACTTTCTACGAGTTCTCTAAGTATTTCACACGAAATAAAATATTCAAATATTTTCATCGGTTCTCCCGTTTGTCTCTCGAATACAATGTGCTTATTATCGATAATCGTCTGTAGATTTTGTTTGTAATAATCCATTTGAATAAACAGATGATTGTCTTCACGCCATGAGTTGCGATAATTCACCACAAAATCTGAGCGCAATTTAACTAAATTTTGAACTTCTTTTAATATTCCCTGTCTTTCGTGATCGCCATAAATGTCTGCAAAACAAACTTCTATTAATATTTATTAAATGCAAATTATTTAAATAAAAACTATATTAAATTTAGAATTACCAAGGAACTTGACAATCTTAACCGCATACTCTTCCCCTTCAATCATGTGCCTCACGTGATATACCTCTCCGAACCCACCCCTCCCTATATGTGACAACTTTTGGAAATTATTGTCAAAAAAGTTTGATTTCTGGTTATAAACTAAAAGAGTTTATAAATAAAATAGATGTTAAAATATAAGTCCAAACATATTGTCATTTATTACCTGTTGATTGGTTGGCAGCCATTTTGCTGATAATATTATTATCTATTTTAATATAAGGTGTGATAATAATTATAAATTTTTAGAACATTTTAAACTTTAATTATGAAAGATTATCATTATACAATTGCAATATTATTTATTATAAAATATATTAACATTTTAAATTAAATCTTACTTATAATTGAATAAATAGAGTATTTATTGTGCTCTAAACGCGAATTTATGAAATATAAAAATAATTGTGTCGTTAATAAAACATATTTTTAACAAAGAAATATTTTATAAAACATATAAATAATTGTTCGTTACGAAGACTAAACATGTTGGTTAAAACTTGTAATAATCAGTTAAAGCAATGGAAATACAGATTTAAGTCAAAATAAACTGATAATAACTATAGTTTTATTGTCTCACAAATTACTTACAATTGAATTATCGGAAAGAGTACGGACGTAAGTCGAGTAATGTATTCCTATGAGAGACTCAAAGCTCTTATAACTCAAAGATTACTTCTTCGATTTTGACAAACTATATATCAAATTGTTCAGAATAAAAATTGATTCGATACCTATATCAGGATTTTTGTAATAAACCAATTGAATAGGAGTATTTTGCTCATAGAAAACAAATTTACAAAATCTCAATTGCTTACCATTTAAAATAGACTTGATCAATTTTAACAAACACTATGTCAAATTGTTCATAATCAAATACACAAAAAATATATTCAGTCAAGTTTACATTATTTTAATTTTATATTGTAAAAACCAGATAGTTACTTGTTCTATGTCAATTTTTAATGTTTTAAGTGAATATCAAACATCCAAATAATAATTATTTCTCCTTTATTTAATTATGAAAAATTTGATATACTAGTGGTTAAAATTGAACAAGTAGATTTTAAATGGCAAGCATTTGAGATTTTGTAAATTTATTTTCTATGAGCAAAATACTCCTTATCAATTGGTTTATTACAAAAATCCTGATATAGGTATCGAATCAATTTTTATTCTGAACAATTTGATATATAGTTTGTCAAAATCGAAGAAGTAATCTTTGAGTTATAAGAGCCTTGAGTCTCTCATAGAAATACATTACTCGACTTACGTCCGTACTCTTTCTGATAATTCAATTGAAACAAACACTCACTAAATGTGTGATAAAACTCACTACTAAAATGTTAAATGGTATACATTTTAAAAAACCTTTACTTATTATAGATATAAAACATAGATTATTAATCATGAGATGCCATGAGATCTCTGAAGGCGGGGACAATCTTAGTGTTGGACAAAAACAGTTGATTTGTTTAGCCAGAGCTTTGTTGAGAAGGACTAAGATCTTGGTGTTGGACGAGGCGACCGCTGGTATGACATTGTATTGTCATTTAATTTAGTATTAAATTAATGTCTAAATTAATGTGTGTTTTCAGCGGTTGATATGGAAACGGATGACTTAATCCAAGAGACGATTAGAAATGAGTTTTGTTTGTCAACTGTTGTTACGATCGCTCATCGATTGAATACAATCATAGATTACAACAAAGTGTTGGTAATGGATAAGGGAATGGTAGCCGAGTTTGATTCACCCCATCATCTCTTGTCCAACACTAACTCTCTTCTATTCAATGGCCAAAAAAGCAAATCTGGTCTAAATTTACCTTGGCACTAGTTGCCCAGTGGTATAGTGTAGGTTTGTGCAATTATTTACCAAGTAATTAAAACTTAGGCCCTTAGTAAAATAATGAAAAATTATTTAATAATTTATTGTTTCACTATATTTTTTCATAAAACCGATGGGCGTATATCGGAAACTGACTTTACAATTGCATTGTAAATCAATTTGATTAAACACACTATCCGTAATGTTTCTACTTCTAAACATGTAATACATACATTTATAATACATACATTTATAATACATACATACATACATACACTGTATATTTACTTATTTATTTATAATAAATTTTATTGAAAATGTTTTCAAATATTACAATTTAAAATAATTAATCCCAATAATAAATTGTTAAAAAATATTCGGAGTGTATTGAATCATATGCACTCATAAATAGGCTCTGTTCTGCTATCTCGGTTTTGATGCAAATGATCACCATGGTCAATTGACTCGTAAATATTTGATCCAACATTATTACTTTCATAATCATTTAGTTCATAATTGTTACGAGCATGCCCATTGTCAATATTATCGTTTACAGGTGTTATAACAATGTACGAGTTACTTATGTGATAAATTCTACTCAAATTACTACCATGTATAACATGTTGCCTATTGTTGAAACCTCTCAGCTCCGGCACCGGTCGAGTGTACATACGATGCGGTGATTTTACAAAATGTTTTTTCCGTTTTATATAAATGTATATAATAATTATCACTATGATGATTAAACCGGCAATGCATATGAGTAAAATTAACCACCATGTGGTAATTGTAATAGTAGATATTGTGTCGATTGGTTGAGCTTATTTAACAAATGAAATCTTAGTATAAAGTCATAATTTATAAGTAATGAATGTATGATTTGTCACAAAAAAAACAAACACATAGCTAACCTGTTGAATTAATCGTTGGTTGAGTAGTGTAATAGTCATTAAATTCGGTTGGTACCATGTGAAATAAATCCTTATATCCATGATCAACACATCGGACACTAAACAAATGCTTTTTGCAATCAACACCTTGTGTATAAATCCACATAATATTGGCGTATTTGCAATGTATTTGATTATTACTCAAAATGATCGAGATCCTGGATTCTGGTGTGCAATGGC